TGCAACTGAAACACATTTCTGACTGTCGTGCAGTGCGGACGTGCGTTTGCGTTGCTCTTGTACATTCGCTCTTTTCCCTTGTCTAATATGGACGATCTTTGCGGTAAATGCTGAAAATTATTCGCGCGTAAAGACTGCTATTGTACCTTACTGGGTTTTTGTAATAAATTATTCCACCGCGTTTGTTGTGAAGGCAAGTAGCCGAGTATGATATCAAACTTTTTAAAACAGGCATATCTGCTATCTTTGTGCTGAGTGCGTTTGTTTGCCCGGGAAAATTGCTAAAAGCTCAGTTAGTCAACGACGTAGCGTAAACGTAGGTTGACGTACGTAGCAGCATATCAAATTTACTGTTGATAGAGAGAGAGAGAAGCAACGGCAACGTCACACGCCATGTGGTGGAGAGTCATGAACGAAAGACACAAGATCACGCGGGAAGGAAAGAATGAAAAAAGTTATTTTCTAACTGCCGAAATCTCGACGCCATCTTTGTTGTAAGAAGTAAACAACGAAGAGAACGGAGAAAACCGCGAAATTGTTGAACGCATGAAAAATCATTTTTATTATGCAAATTCTTCTATAAATCATGCCGTTGTGTTAAATTATTCTTTATCTTATGTGTACACACGTTGTCACAAGCGAAAATGAAGAAAATTGCAGTAAAAAGCCACCACCAAATTGTAAACAAACGGTTAATGTCAAAATCGTTCAAATTTTTTCCTAAATGCGATTCTAACGGGCAAGTCTCCAGCCCGCGTGATCTTATCTTTTTGGTTCATGGTGGTGAGTTTTCGTTAACACGCGAATCCCATAAGGTAGATCGTGTCAGCGTCTACGTTACGTCGTTGACTGTTTGAGCTTTAAGTCATTCGACTTACTGCTGGCATTGCATAAAAATGGACTGGATTCCATCACTAGTGTCTTATCTGGCCATATTAGTGAAATCAAAAATGAAGTCGCTGCTATAAATTATGCAAACTGTGAAAACAATAAACATATTCCAGCTGGCATAAATTCTCTATGCTCAGAATTCAGTGCGCTAAAAAGTATTATAACTAAATCTACCAAATCATCTGTTGTTGCTGCCAAAGTAAATAACGGCAAAAGAAATTGTATGACTGCTGCTCACGGAGAGAATTCCACTTGAGGTTCGTGATGTAAACCATAATAAAAATATTTGTATCATGATGTAAACGTTATGAATTCGGCGAGCTCTATTGCTTCAAATATCTCACACTCCAATTACTGGAAGTGCTGCTACAGTTTAAAACTTAACTTCGTGTTCGCATACTGCGCTAAATGCTCCGAATGCTTACCCGCGCTTGCCTATTCATTTCATTTCATTTATTGCGAAAAAAACCGTACAATAAGATCTACGATCTTTTATAGTACAAGTAACAAGAAGTGTCAGAAAAATAAAATAAATAGTAATTCTTAAAACTAAAATTTCTAATAAACATAAGAATAACAATAATGAAAACGAAGTAGAATAACGATTAATAGATATAGACACAAACTTAACAATAATACAATGATTATCCATATTGGCTGAAAAATATATATTTAGATAGCGAAACACATAATTATGCAAAATATATACGAATGTATACATATATTTGTTTTAACGATTATGAGACGGGACGTTTAATGCTAACTTATCCAAAAGATTAGGACAATCGACTGTGCCCTCCAATATTTTGGCCACAAAAGAGGCTGCTAGGAAAGAACGCCTAGTATTTAACGAACTTAGGTTAATAAGTTGACAACGGGAATTATACGGAGGTATAGGCTCAGAAAATTTTAGAGAACGCAAGGCAAATTTAATAAAAACTTTTTGAATCTTCTCAATCCGGTTTATATAGACAGCCTGATAGGGACGCCAAATGAAAGACGCATACTCAAGCCTAGATCTCACTAACGTGACATAAAGAAGCTTCAGAGTATAGGGATCCTTAAACAACTGACCATTACGACGTACGAATGCTAGCATTGCATAAGCTTTGGAAACTACGTAGTTAATATGGGTTGCGAAGGTTAATTTTGAGTCGAAGTAAACCCCTAAGTCTTTAACCTCTGCGACATAACTAAGTTCATGGCCCCCAATATTGTAATTAGTTTGAACGGTAAGAAGCTTTCTGGTGAAAGTGGAGTAGGAACATTTACTAACATTTAAAGATAAGGAATTAAGAGAGCACCAAGAATGCAGGTTATTAAGCTCAGCTTGCAGCAAAAGAGAGTCTTGTGAGGTTCTGATTACTGAGTAAACCTTTAGATCGTCAGCATATAATAAATACTTAGAAGACTGGAAGCATGATCNACAACTGACCATTACGACGTACGAATGCTAGCATTGCATAAGCTTTGGAAACTACGTAGTTAATATGGGTTGCGAAGGTTAATTTTGAGTCGAAGTAAATCCCTAAGTCTTTAACCTCTGCGACATAACTAAGTTCATGGCCCCCAATATTGTAATTAGTTTGAACGGTAAGAAGCTTTCTGGTGAAAGTGGAGTAGGAACATTTACTAACATTTAAAGATAAGGAATTAAGAGAGCACCAAGAATGCAGGTTATTAAGCTCAGCTTGCAGCAAAAGAGAGTCTTGTGAGGTTCTGATTACTGAGTAAACCTTTAGATCGTCAGCATATAATATTACATCATGATACAAATATTTTTATTATGGTTTACATCACGAACCTCAAGTGGAATTCTCTCCGTGAGCAGCAGTCATACAATTTCTTTTGCCGTTATTTACTTTGGCAGCAACAACAGATGATTTGGTAGATTTAGTTATAATACTTTTTAGCGCACTGAATTCTGAGCATAGAGAATTTATGCCAGCTGGAATATGTTTATTGTTTTCACAGTTTGCATAATTTATAGCAGCGACTTCATTTTTGATTTCACTAATATGGCCAGATAAGACACTAGTGATGGAATCCAGTCCATTTTTATGCAATGCCAGCAGTAAGTCGAATGACTTAAAGCTCAAACAGTCAACGACGTAACGTAGACGCTGACACGATCTACCTTATGGGATTCGCGTGTTAACGAAAACTCACCACCATGAACCAAAAAGATAAGATCACGCGGGCTGGAGACTAGCCCGTTAGAATCGCATTTAGGAAAAAATTTGAACGATTTTGACATTAACCCGTTGTTTACAATTTGGTGGTGGCTTTTTACTGCAATTTTCTTCATTTTCGCTTGTGACAACGTGTGTACACATAAGATAAAGAATAATTTAACACAACGGCATGATTTATAGAAGAATTTGCATAATAAAAATGATTTTTCATGCGTTCAACAATTTCGCGGTTTTCTCCGTTCTCTTCGTTGTTTACTTCTTACAACAAAGATGGCGTCGAGATTTCGGCAGTTAGAAAATAACTTTTTACGTTCTTTCCTTCCCGCGTGATCTTGTCTTTCGTTCATGACTCACCACCACATGGCGGTGACGTTGCCGTTGCTTCTCTCTCTCTCTATCAACAGTAAATTTGATATGCTGCTACGTCAACCTACGTTTACGCTACTTTTAGCAATTTTCCCGGGCAAACAAACGCACTCAGCACAAAGATAGCAGATATGCCTGTTTTAAAAAGTTTGATATCATACTCGGCTACTTGCCTTCACAACAAACGCGGTGGAATAATTTATTACAAAAACCCAGTAAGGTACAATAGCAGTCTTTACGCGCGAATAATTTTCAGCATTTACCGCAAAGATCGTCCATATTAGACAAGGGAAAAGAGCGAATGTACAAGAGCAACGCAAACGCACGTCCGCACTGCACGACAGTCAGAAATGTGTTTCAGTTGCAGTTGCATTTTGCAATTATTATTTCCGAAAGCGATTCCTGCAAATCACCAAAAATTACCTTCTGGCTGTTTACACGGGAAAGTAGACTTCCGTTTTCGCATTTTGACAGCGAAACGCGTTATAATCAGTACAAAAAGCTCTATCGATTCCCATTTTTAGTTTTTTTTTTTTAAGCGAAACGGTGCGTATTATTTTCTTTTCCAGGGGTGACTTTTCAAAAAGCGCTGTCCATCCTCTTTCGTTTAAGGGAGGTTTGGGCGCCACTCCCGTCCCCTTCCGTCCACAACCCCAAAATCGTTGTACAAATAACTAAACACTTCCCCAAGCCAACCCACACTTTTTTTGGGAAATGTTAAGTAGCCCTCACATCGTTTTTGGGGTGGGCGGCGGCCCCCCAAACCCTTCCCACTAGAAAGGGGCAGTCCCCGCTTTCTAAAAATGCGTACCCAGCGTACAGCGGAACTCCGCCATTTAATTTGCATATGCAACCAAAGTCAGACGCGTGATTTTGAAGGTATTTTTATTTAATGAATTGTGATTAATTGGTTAATATTAAAGTCGTAAAGCAAGTTATAACTAATCGAGTGAAGTGTTAAGTGAAGGTGCATACAAAAATGTATTGGTGAAGTGGCTGCTTTAAGGAGAATAGGAGTGATAAATGTACGCTAATTTCCGAATTTTACAAAAAGGGCATATTTCAAACACATTTTGCAAATAAATTAGTGACCAAAATTTACAAAAGTGAGTGTTAAAATAATGCGTTGACCCTTGACTACAAGTGTGGAATTTTTTTTGGATCGGGCCACCCCTTTGGACGGAATAGCCCGAAATAGTTGTGAGCGCTACTAAACCCCCGCCCCCCCTCCCCACCCCTTTTTTTGCTAGCTCTATTCTTCCGTTATACTGGATTTTAAACAAATTATGTCTAGCCCATAGAGCGACGCTATATATCAGTCCCAGAGGGGTAAGTTTTTGACAAGTTTTATCAGGACCAATTGAATTGGTTGGACGGAATTGCCACGGTCTTTCCATTTACTCCACAAAATTGTGAAAATTTCGAATTTTCTATATTTTATATTACACTTACACAAGTATTAAAATCGCCAGGAGCAACCACCAAATTATCAAGTACAGACTGCACTTTAGTAACCAAATTTCCAATAGAGGTTTGTTCAGCTGGAGTTGGACTGAGATCTTGATTGCGCTTCAGAAGTGCTGCAGTAAGAGCAGAGTCATCGACTTGTGGTGATACCTTTGGGAATAAAACCTCAGCAACTAAAGTTAAATCGAAAGGATGCCTCGGGATAAATGTCTTCTTAAAGGGAGGTCGATGTAGACCACCTCGCATTGGTCTACCTCCTCGCAAGTTTCCGCGTACCATTTTTCTATTAGATGAATTAATGATTGCAATTATTTAAAAATAACAGATTGGATGCAATAATTTAGCACGCCTTGCGGTAAGAAAACGCCGAAAAAATCGATGAGGCTCGAATTATAATGATGTCAGAAGTACATCGATGCTAGATATACAAAAAAGCATCGATTCATCAGATATACCGATGTTTTGCACTTTCCGAATACACCGATATGTACTGTTTTCTATGCATCGACTTCTGTGTGCAATGTGTGGCATAAATTCAGTTGGGCTCCAAAGCTCAAATTAAAAAAAAAAAAAAAAATTGAATCGGTAGAAGTGATTGAGCTGAGTATTACGGTATACTTCTTTTTTTGGGCAAATAACAACAACAAGAATTATCAAAGGTTAGATTTCAAAATAACCAATTTTTGAAATAAAGATTTCTCAAAAACGAATTAATGGATTTTGAAAATTTTTATCTCATTTAATAGCAAATTTTATTCCCTTTAATTTGCTATACGTACTTTGTATATATGTTGTATAGTTCTTACAAAAATTGAATTAATGTAAAATAATTATAAAAAAAAGCTTACAAACCCTAAGGGCCGGTTGTTCTAAGTCTGATTTGCAGAAATCGGAGGTAGAAGCTTCGGTTAAATACAACGACTGCTTTATCGATCACATGTTATAAGCATGGTGACGAAAACGTCGATAATGATGTTTAACCGGCAAGTAGTAATAACCAGACATTGAACAACCGGCCCTAAGTGCGGCCGACGCCGCCTACGCAGAGAGGTGTTCTCTGTAAAAGGTGTTCTGTGCCTTTTCTTCGCAACACAGAAAGAGAATTCTACGTTGTGAGGGTTATAATTCCTAAGAGTCGGTTTTTCAATGTCTGGTTAACACTAGCCTGCGGTTAAACAGCGTTATCGACATGTTCGACTCCATGCATACAACAGGGAGTCGGTAACGTCGATAACTATGTTTAACCGGAGATTAGTTTTAACCAGACATTGAGTAACCGGCCCTAAGTGCGGCCGCAGGGCCGTTTACTCAATATCTGGTTAACACTTATCTGCGGTTAACATTCTTATCGACGTCTTCGATTCCATGCATACAACAGGGAGTCGGTAACGTGGATAACGATGTTTAACCTGTGGTTAGTGTTAACCAGACATTGAGTAACCGGCCCTTAAAAATGCATTGTAATACGGGTCCTAGGGCTCTTCACACCGAGCTTGATACTCGTCAACTCAGTGTTGGATAATTTTCCCTATGTATTTTTTTTGTGTATGCGGGTTATAGTGTGGAAGCTTGATAATTTTTCAGGTAGTTGATAAACTGCAATCAGCTGTTCGATATATATCCAATTTTTAATCCACCCGCTGTCGAAAGGCATAACGCATATGAGTAAATTCAATTTGCTGATACAATTTATTTTTTTTAGAGGAAAAAAGCTACAAATCAGTTGTTTATAAACATAGTTTGCCAGACTAATGGGCTATTATTCCTCATGTGCAAAAGCACATTTAGGGCCGGTTGTTCAATGTCTGATTAGCACAAATCGGAGGTAGAAGCTCCGGTTTAGCACAACTACTGCTTTATCGATCACATGTTACATGCATGATGTCGAAATCGTCGATAGTGTAGGGGTAGTGATAACCAGACATTGAGTAACCGGCCCTAAATGTGCTTTTGCACATGAGGAATAATAGCCCATTAGTCTGGCAAACTATGTTTATAAACAACTGAGACAACTGAGAATTCAACGTTGTGAGGGTTATAATCCCTAAGGGTCGGTTTTTCAATGTCTGGTTAACACTAACCTGCGGTTAAACATCTTCGACTCCATGCATAAAACAGGGAGTTGGTAACGTCGATAACTATGTTTAACCGGGGATTAGTGTTAATCAGACATTGAGTAATGCAGCGTTTTTGCTGCATTTAAAATGCAACATTTAGCACTTTCGAACATATGTTTTCGAAGAGCGTTCATGCTATCGCATTTAGCAAATGTACATTTACGCGAGTTCGAAATCGTATGCTTTTGACAAACAGCCGTGTTCCAGTCGCTTATTCAGATCCGTATCTATTACGATCAATTCTCACGCAGAAGATAATGTGCAAAAACCCTGAAAAGGAAAAAATAGACCTAAAGTTCAATACAAAAACTTGAATTGTTTTAACGATAACTGAACATTTTTTGTGTATATATTCATTTGTCGGTGCTGTCAATTAAAATTTCCTCACTTAATTAGGAAACAAAACGAACAGAATTGATTACAAAAAGTGATACATATTTCTATCAGCATCACATCGATGTTGAATTTGCTTAAATTTTCTTTATCCAAATAATGTAAAACAATAAATGAAATCTCGATCGGCGATCACTGAAACGCAGCTAGCCACTGTATACTCGAAAAAGCAATGTTGCCACTTTTTCTCATTAAACCATGTTCGAATCGTGGAAATTTTGGAAGATCATAGGGTTGCTTTTAGCATTTAGATTCTTAATGCAAAAATGGAGTTGCATTTAGGTGGCGAATTTTGTATGGATAAATGTACATTTAGAGTAGCATTTAGAGCTAAATGCGCTAAAAATGCTTTTACGCGTAAGCAAAAACAGCCCATAATCGGCTTTTAGGGCCGTTTGCACCATGTCTAGTTAATTCTAACTCCCAGTAAAACATCTTTATCGACGTTATCGACACCCATCATATAACATGTGATCGATAAAGCAGTTAACGTGCTTAACTGAAGGATGTACCTCCAGTTAGCGTTAACTAGACATGGTGCAAACGGCCCTTAGTAGCATTAGTAGTAGCATTTAGTATTTAGCAGTCATAGTTGCTTCATCGTCACAATTACGATGCAACGATTACATGACGACTACACTTTCGCACACCAGGTCGTGATATTTCAATTCATTTGGCGGCTAAAAATTTACTTGGAGCAAGTATTTTCTGTTTTTCTGGTTGATATTTTCGCGAAAAACACCTGCAGTTTTTAAAATATAGACTGTGCTGCAACAATTCTACACATAATTTTTCAGTAATATCTCTTCTTTTCTTTTCCTGAAATGTGTTTTGTGCATGCACAGAGACTTTTTACAATTTCGTCATATTTTGTAGTTAAAATCATCCACTTTTTAATAATTTCCACGGATTTTATGCAAAAAATACTAATTTTTATGCAATTTTAATGCAAATATTAATTTTTTCACTACTTTTTCCCCATAAAATGTAAACAAACAATGCGTGCACTACGATTAGCAAACGACAGTGCCGTACTTATCCGTTTCTGCATCTTCTACGATTTGCCTTTAACTAGCCGATAACGACAAGTGTGCAGATCTTCTTTGAAAATTTTCAAAATTTCAGGGCGAGACGATAACGCCACTATGATTGGACGACAAGTGTGCAGATAGCCTAAGGCTGTCGGCGAGTACGTCTAAGGGCCGGTTACTCAATGTCTGGTTAACACTAATCTGCGGTTAAACATCGTTATCGACGTCTACGACTCCATGCATATAACAGGGCGTCGGTAACGTCGGTAACTATGTTTAACCGGGGATTAGCGTTAACCAGACATTGAGTAACCGGCCCTAAATTGCTACCTAATGTCTGATTAGCACAAATCGGAGGTAGAAGCTCCGGTTAAGCACAACTACTGCTTTATCGATCACATGTTACATGCATGATGTTGAAATCGTCGATAGTGTAGTGGTAGTGATAACCAGACATTGAACAACCGGCCCTAAATAGAGAAAAATCCTAAATCACTGGAAAGTGTCGGTAACGCAGTGAATAGGAACAATTTAGATTTTCTACGAGCATACTTTTCAACCTAAATTGAACAGACAAATATATTTGTTCGAGAGATTAAGTGAACAATGATTTTTTGATGTTTTAAATAATTTTTATCATTGCTATGGCACAAAAAAAGTATTCATAAAGATGTAAGTATAAATTTATTTGATTTTTGCATTCAGATAAATATATGTGTAATTCTGTATATTACACATAGGGATGTACATTATTTCGCAGGGTCAGAAGAGCAAACGGATTCTTTTATAGATGCCAGGATGGAGCTAGACCATCTGTTCACGGGGAAAGTAATGGACGCTAGGACTGCTTGGGAGTAAGTGATAATTTATTATCAGTATTTCTATGCCTACGCTACCATTGTTAAATTTTTTTAGAGCAAGTAGGTTCAAATAGTGGAATAGGCGAAGATTGGCTGAAATTAAAAAATAAGTGGGCTAATCTGATTGAAAAATATAAGGTGCGTATTGGAAAAAATATTGGGGAATATGCATTATTCACATATTCTGCGTTCAGAATTTCAGCGCATCAAAGAACCTCCAACAGGANAGATTGGCTGAAATTAAAAAATAAGTGGGCTAATCTGATTGAAAAATATAAGGTGCGTATTGGAAAAAATATTGGGGAATATGCATTATCCACATATTCTGCGTTCAGAATTTCAGCGCATCAAAGAACCTCCAACAGGATGCGGGTCTGAGGAGATAGAGATAGCAACAACCTGGCACCACTTCGAAAAAATTCATAAATTTTGCTCGAAGTTGCATAACATAAACCCGCCGCTGGTACTAAATAGTGAGGTTATTGAAATTGAGGATCCGCTAGCTTCACCCCAACATGCATCCTCACCAATCTGCAGCCTTCATCCACGTCTTTTACCAGAAGAACACCTCCTTGTTGAAAACTGATAAGGAGGTGCCCAAGGCAGCAAGGTCCTTTTCGAAGTTATTTAAAAAATATTTCAATATAAGCAGTGAGTCTCTGATTCAAAATAATGTCTGCTTTATGCTGAGATTTGGATTAATCTTTAGTTATTGAAGTTTTTATTGATATTTTTTATTTTTTATTAGTTTTGCCTGATATGAGTCAATCTAACTGAAGACTGAAATATTAATAATAATTGTTTGATTATCTTATGAAATGTTGTTAATTTGTCATTTATTAGATTAAAATGAATTCAATATTTTTTATCAAAATTTAAATAAATTTTAATTGAAAATTTACATTTTAATACGGCTTGCAATTTCATCGCGCAAAGCGGCGGCATCATTATGTTGGTCGTCTTCCATGTTAATAATAGAATCATGGTTTCGTTGAAGCATTACCTCCTGTATGTCATGAAATTCTTCAAATC